CACTGGCCCTCATATGTGGGATCCGAACCGGGGCCCTCTGGTGTCCCAAGCCAGTTCTTAACCATTGCGCCACTTGGCTGGCCCAGGTTACTAACTTTTGACTTGAACGAAAATGTATTGAAGTTTGCCCGTTGTTCTTAATTTACTAAATTAAGAAATCTTAATTTAAATCTTAAAAATCTAAATGAAGGATTTCAGAACTCAAGTTAATTTGATGAGAAAACTATTTTATTTGAAGTGGAACCTATTTAGTATTTAAACACACATCAGACATCAAGAACTAAAAACAAAACAAAACAAAAAACTGCACTGAGACAAAGAATAAATTGCCTCTCTCTCCCCTTTCCTTTCCTTTCCTTTCCTTTCCTTTCCTCTCTGCTCCCCTCTCCTCTCCTCTCCCCTCCTCTCTTCTCTTCTCTCCTCTCCTTCCCTTCTGTTTTCTTCCCTTTCTCACTTCCTTCAAGGGAAAGTTTCTGCAGTCTTTGGCTAATTTTCTGTAGAAATCAGTCCCCTATCTAGGAATGAGGCCTCTCTAGTCACATACATAAACATATGTGTGTATGTATGCATGTATTTGCCTCCCAAATACATATGGATTATGTCACCATAATCCAAAAGATAATAGAAATTGCAGCCAGCTGGGAGTTCAAATAGAATGCAATAAAGGGGTCTTTACAGAGACACATAGTTAAGGTTGAGAGAACCAGCAAGGCATGCTGGGTCACAAACTATTGGGTTGCCGAAAAAGTCATGATGTATTTTGTCTATGTTTTTCAAAGGTCATTTATTTATATAAAGAACAAAGATCAATCAATGATATATGGCCTGCTTGTTCAATAACCTTTTGTCATCTTTCAGTGAGTTTCGTAATTCCTTGCTCATATAAGGACCTGTCTTTATTTGTGAAAAACTGAACAAGGTGCTGATTTACAGCCTCATCTGAATTGAACATTATACCACCCAAGGAGTTTTGAAGAGAGCAAAACAAGTAGAAGTCTGATGGCACAAGGTCAGGCTAGTATGGTGATCATACCATTCAAGCTCGAATCATTTTTGATGGGTGATCAAACTTGTGTGTGGTCTCGCGTTGTTGCGATGGAACACAACTCCTTTACAATTAACAAGCTCTGGACATTTTTGGATGATGGATTCGTTCGAACTGTCCAATTGCCGACAGTACACATTCCAATTGATTGTTTGGTTCCTTGGTAGAAGCTTAAAAAAACACGACACCTTTAAAATCCCACCACACTGAGAGCATAACCTTCCTCTGATGAATGTCTGCTTTCGATGTCATTGGAGGCAAATCATCATGTCAGGACCAAGACCGTTTGCACAACACATTGTTATAAACAATCCACTTCTCATCACCAGTTATCAGTCACTTCAGAAAAGGATCATTTTCCTTATGTTTAATGAGCATATTGCAGATGTTTATATGAGCCATCAAATGAACTTCTTTGAGTTCATGCGGAACCCAAATATCGAGCTTACGTATCCCAGTTTCTTTAGGTGGTCGTGAACACTTGAATGATAGATGTTCAATGTTTCTGCAATCTCTCGTGCCATGTAACATGGGTTTGACTCGATCAATGCCTTTATTTTGTCATCATCAACCTCGGTGGGCCTCCCTGACCGAGGAGCGTCCTTGAGATCAAAACCACCAGCTTGGAATTTCATGAACCATTGTTGGCACTGACATTCTTGTAGAGCATTGTCACCATAAACTTTATGCAACTTTTCACAAGCTTGATGCACATTCTTCCCTTTATGGACGTAAAACAGTAAAATATGGCAAAATTGCAGTTTGGTCTTCCATTTTAACTTGTAAAATCTTCAAAACTGAACCAAATTTCTCATTTTTTTTTTAGAATGAAGCTAGAACTGTCAGTTGTTAAATGACATAGCAATAACATAGATGCGAATGACTCTAGTACTTCCAAAAATGAACTAGTGCCATCTGTTGCAAACATACATTATGACTTTTCCGACAACCTAATACTCTCACCCCTAGGCTTCCAGGTACAAAGAAAGGAGATGACATTACCAGTGAGAATTGGAGTCTTGAAAGTGAGTGTGTGTCCAATAGAAGTTGTCTTTGTAGAAGGAGGCAGCCAATGGAGTGTGGTCGGGCTGGGGATGGAGCCTAAGGTGAGAGGGAGCCAAGGAAGGGCAACAGCAAACAGTTGCCTTCTCCCTTCTTCTGCTCTCCAATATCCTGCCAGAGGACCCTACTGGCCTAACCCTCCCAAAGGCAAGGGGACCTGCAGGATGCCATTCATGGGGGTCAGTCTCCCCTGGAACACAGACCAGAGTGGAAAAGGGCAGAGAGTGGGCCTGGGGGTGTGTGTGGGGGGGCGAGTCAAAGGTGAATAACCAACCCCCATATCCAGTGCTTCATTTTCTTAGTCTGGCTGGCTAACTGGTTGAGTGAATTGACCTCTCACAGCTTTGCGTACTTACATAAATGATGCATTCCTTCCCAGAAGGCTAGGACAATGCATTATCAGTGGGGCCACTGACTAAAGCAAGCAAGGCCTCCCTCTGTCCCTGTTCTCTATCTGTAGACTCCACATTATCGGTGGTGGCATCTCAGGATGAGGAGTGTTTTCTTTTTCTCCTTCTTTTTTTTTTTTAACAGCTTTACTGCAATATAACTCATATGTTACGCAATTCACCCATTTAAAGTGCAAATTCAGTGGATTTGGGAAGTATATTACATTATCAAGTTTTTTTACATTTTTTATTAGTTTTAGGTGTACAAGGCAACATAATAGTTAGACCTTTATACCCCTCACAAAGTGATAACCCCCTCCCAATCTACTACCCTTCTGACATCATATATAGCAGTTACAACAGCATTGACTATATTACCTATGTTATACTTTACATCCAGTGACCATATATATATATATATATATACACACACATATACATATATATATAATATATATATATATGTATATATATATAATATATATATACAGAGCGTGCCGAAAAATGTATACATATTTTAAGACAGGAAAAAAAATATTAAAATCTTGATACTCAGTATAGACCAATAACAAAAGATGAATACAAGCGGACACTTAGGTCAACGTTGCTCAAGCAGTAGTTCACTGTAAATCAGAAGTGTCTGGACACTGACGGTAACCACTTTGAGCACCTCTTGCAATTGCAGAGGTCAAACGGGACTTGCATTCATCTTTTGTTATTGATACATATTGAGGAATGTTTTCTTATAGGTCCCTCTAATTTAAGGCTTTTGTTGTCCAAGTGTTAATTTTGTTATTGATACATA